AGGTGCATACTCTATGACAGGTTTCTATGCTTAATTCATACTAGCAAGCAATCTTTCTAGTCAAGGGAGCTGATTTAATGGCAAGAATAATTTATGTCCCTCTGGGTAGGTAGAAACAGTTGGACTCTAATTCTTAAGAGCCTTTGCTCAGGAACATCTGGGTTGAAACCACTATAGTTAACAGATGATGCTGGTCATAAAAAAAAAGGCCTTGTATAATGTCATTGTCAAATTGAGTAGACCTCTACTTAATAATTATCAAGAAAGCAATCTAACTTGTTATTACAACAGTTTTATTGCAGATTGCTGGTTTAAGACGTTTTTGTGACAGTGGCATTTTTTTTTTCCTGGGGGAAAAAAAAAAGTCATTTCTATTCCCCTGTAATTATTTTTCCAGCCAGCGACAACTTCCTGCATTGGGCATATTGGGACATTTTATCTTAGAAACCAAGAATTAAATTCTTGGTAATGTATGACTGATTTCATTCTGTTTATCACATTGTAAAATTTCTTGCTTATTTCTTACACCTTGTCTCACCCTAGGCATTCTTTCTCCTGCCACCCAGCCCTGTATACATTTAAATGCAGTAGCCCGAGTCAAGCCAGAGAATGACTATAAGGACTGGATGAGCAAAGCCCATTTTGCTTTACAAAAAAAAAAGTTGTTGAATGATGCAAGTAAATGTTTAATCTCAGGACATCAATTTTGGGCAATCTGAAGGCACATTCTTGGGGGCATGCTTCTTGTAACAAGATTTGTAGAGGGTCCCAAGGAGAAATTAATGTCTGTATCTTAGATTTGTGCTTACATTGTGGCATAGTGGATTGAAGGCAAAAATTAAATTCCCAGAGCACATCACTGCTATTATCTCCTTCTACACCCTTCCTACCCTGCCCAATCTGTGTGCTTTTATAGAACAAGACAAGAAGCATTTGTTTCATGATTCTATACGTACTTCTAAGCCTTCTCTGTCTAAACTAGATATTCCCAGTTTACCACTTTATCTCTTCTGTATTATTCCAGCAACTTCTGAGGTTTTGTTCCCCATTCTTTCATACATTTATTTAATCAGTATTTATTTAAAGCTTATGCTTTACACTTTGCAAAATGCCAGGGAGAGAAAGCATGAGGAAGCTTCTTCCATGCAATGGAAGAAGCTCAGTCTAGAGGGCAGAGAGATTAATAAATAAAGGATTACCACACAAAACCACACCCTCTCCCCTGTTTACTCACCTAGATCTGCTTTTCCCCACTGGATCCCCAACAGGGGCTGTACCTCTGCTGCAGCCTTCAGCCTAGTACCCTAACTATGGCCAACTTTTTGTGGCAGGATCTAATGAAAAACTGATTACAAGGAGAGACATAGTTCTGCTTCCAGTGTAAATAGTAAATTACTCAAGATTGATATTTTGCAAACATCCAGATGATGTTCTTAGAGTAGAGATTAAAAACACCGATACCTGTAGGGGACAATTAGCAACAAAGAGTGAAGAGTGAGGTCTGAGACAACAGGGAGTGGTGGGGACTGTGGCATATTGGAGAGCACATGTCTCATCTAAAGGGGCAAGTGCTTTGAAGCCCCAATCTCTGTTAGCTTCAGTGTGGCCATATCTGATCTGTCCAAAAAATCTGGAAAACTAGTTTTTATATGAAATCACCTATTGTTATCTGATGCCAGTTAAAAAAAAAGGACAAAACACTGTACTGACCAGACAGAACCTGTCTGCACATTGGGCTTCTGGCCACCACTCATTTCCTCCACTTTTATGAGAAACATCTGTGCAGCACTGCATTGAGACTTGATTTCCACTTTTGACATTTCTGTAAAAAATGGAAACCTTGTTTAACCTTGAACAAATTGCTTAATTTCCACTTCTGGCTTTTCTATGGAAAGGCCCTATGACCTTGAGCAAGTTGCTTTCCCATCTTTGGAACTCAGTTTGGCATCTGCCTGAGAAGAGCAGGGGTAGCCAGTCTTGAAGGGCCTGAGTCTGAAAATCTGTGGTGTGCTACTGTTGGTATATAATCACTTTGTTTATATCACTCTGTCCCTCTCTTCTTCAACCCTTTGGCCAGTGAGCAAAGGCATGTCTTGGGTCAAACAGCTTCTTAGAAAGAGGTATCTATAAAGTAGTATAGAATTATCTTAGATAGAGATTTGAAAGGCATGAAAGGGGACTCAGAGATCTGCTTGGTACCCCCTGCTAGGTTATGAATGTGCATGGGCCACATAGATTTTATCGTTTTCCCTGCATTAGAAAGCTCCTTTCTTTTTCTATCCAGTTGGTTAACAGTTTTGAAGTAGCTAGGAAGACATTATTCATTATTACTATGAACTATTTCTTCCCGTCTCACCTGCAGGACCAGGTTGTTAAAGCAATTAAGATCCTGGATCCCATGAACTACGAGAGTTCCAAATCAGAGTGGTCATTGCTCGTAGACTCTGCAACTTGGCCTCTTCATGATCCTTGCTAAGTTAAGATCACACTTCTTGAGTTTTTGGCATTTAGCTGCTAGTTACTTTAAAAAGTGGTTACTTAATCTTAGTAACTTGGTTCAACAAATATTGCATAAGCCATTTGATATTTTAAACAGTTTAAGCTCCAGAAGTAACAGTCCCATAAAAGGTGTGTGTTAGCCGTGCTCTATGGTACGTAAATTAAGAAGAGCATTTTTCCAGCTGTAGTTGGATTGGTGTTTCAGCAAACTGTGTGATCAGCATAAAGCCCAGGTCATTAGAGTCTGCTGGCAGGAATCAGAAAGCCTGCAAATCACCCAAGAGCCCCAATACACTTGCATGGAAGTGGTTCTTTGAAATCTGACTGTTTGTTGAAAGCAATATGGAGGGCCATGACCTCAGAGGCATGCATGAGCAATTTGGTCTTATTCCCAACAGAGAGTATGAGGCCTTCATCAGCACTTTACCTGTAGGTAACACATCCTCAAGCCCAGCACATCTGATTATGGCACTTTGCTATTTAAAGTCAACCAAAGTTTCCCATTCTGCTTGGAATAAGCTGCAGACTCCTTGCTGTGGCCAACAAAGTGTTCTGATTTGGTTCCCACCTAGTTCCCCAACCCAATCATTATCACAGTTGTTATTGCTGGTTCTCAAATACCTGAAGTTCCTTCCAGCCTCAGGACCCTTGCACTTGCTGTTTCTCCTCCCCAGGAGGCTTTTTCCCCACATCCCCTCATTGCCTACTTCTCTTCATCATGCTCCCTTGCTTGGTGCTTTATGTCACTTCTTCAGAATGGTCCTCCTGGCCCATTGCAGATAACACACTTTTTCAGTTACACTTTATTCTCTTAGGGATTTTAGTTTCTGCATAGTACTTGTGTTCTTATTACTTATTCTTTGTATATTTGCTTAATGCTTATCTCTGCCAACACAAAATAGGCTTCACTGGGGATGAAGATGTTGTATATCCCACTAGGTAGTAGCTGAGGACCTTGGTGAGTCACATGAGCTTTCTGAGCCTTAGTTTCATCACTTGTAAAATAGAGATACTAGTAGAAGTATGAATAACTAGGATAATATTTCCCTCTCAGGGGTATTGTGGGGATTAAATGAAAGCACCAAGAAAGGCCTTGACCTGTGACCCAAAATATCCTCCCCCTTATAATGCTGGAGCTAAATAACCATGAACTCACTTCTCCATATATCAGTAAACCATTGCTTTGTTATCTAAGAGACTTTGGACCATAAGTGATAATGCCCATTATAGAAACACAATTATAAGTTATTCAATATATATATATTATTTATGTGAACTTTTATTTCTATGAGTATATAAACATATATTTTTACCTAATTGTATCATTATTTATACATTTTATCTATATAATATTTTTTGTTGATCTTATACCTTAAAATAGTCTTCAAAATGTAATTTTTGAATGCTAATACCTACCATATAGTGCCACACTTCAACCGTTGCCTTATTACTGAACATTTAGGTTTTCTTTTTTTTTTTACTCTGTATAAATATTACTACCTTAAATACCTTTATGCAGAAAGTATTTTCCAAAATGTGTTATGATTTTTTTTAGAATTGAACCCCAGTAGTGGAATGATTTCTTGAGCTTGTGTGTATCAGTGGTTCCATGCACAGCACTATGGGGAATTCCAAACCAGTCTAAAACTCTTAAGGAAGTTACACTGGTTGAGGAAACAGAATTCAGACACATGAAATCACAGCCAGCATTAGATTGACTAAAGGCTAGAAGATGTGGTTGCAGACAAGGTGCTAGAGGAGTTCTGAGAGTGGAAAGAAAATCAGAGGGCAGCAGTTGCTGAAGAAGACCCACACAGAAGATTAGATTTGATGTGGGCCTGGGAGGGGGTATTGGAAAGAGAGGAGAAGATGTTCGGGGGGAAGGATGTGCATCACTGAAGGCATGGAGGCAGGACCCAGTCCACTGCAAAGCAGTCTGGGCCGTGGGCAAGAGTGGCAGGCAGATGAGGTGAGGCAGCTTGGCTGGAGCCAGGAATGATGGCTCTGTAGTCATGCACTGGGCAGTTACATGGAGGCTAAGGATTATTACCATCATTCCGAGCACACAGGGGTCTGCTCGGAACAACAATATGAGCCATTTGTACAAAAGACCAAAGCAGAATCCAAATAACAGGTCCAGCTGCTCCAAAAACCTCCCTCCCCCTGCAGTTAACATTTTACTACCCAACGGAGAAACTAATGAATCTGGCCCAGCATAAATCCCCAGGCACCAATTCCTGCTTGGGGTCTGTGTCTAGACATCTAGACTTGAGTGCAATTTGCACTTTGAACATTCAGTGCCTTATCGCTTGTGAGAAATCGGCTTTAATGGGGATGCTGGGAGGTGTTGCCCACAGCCCCATCCGTTTGGCACAACGACTGTAGAATGAGGGTCCCTTGGATAATGGCTGGATTAGGAGATGAAAAGGTCATAATAGTGTTTGCTAAGTGGCTCTGGTCCTCATAAGCACTGACTGGGAGTTTTCTCCATCTCTTTGCAGGCTATGTTTTGTGAAGCTCAAGCTCCTAATGATAGCCATTGAGTACAAGTCTGCCAACCGAGAGAGCCGGTAAGTTTGCTGAGTCTCAGCAGCCAGCTGACGTTTACAATGGTGAGAGTGCACTCTGGGAATGTTCGGTCCACTTTTTCTTTATTAGGCATTGTTTATATGCTTGGAACCCTGATGCAACACCTCTCTGATCCTAGGACCCATTTCGAGGCATGCTCAACCAGACACTGGCATTTCTATCCTGGACCCACCTGGCATCTCGAGCCCTACTGGGCATTGAGAGTGTTTCTCCAGGGGATGAGACACTCAGATCTCCATCGGATATGCCAACTTTCACTTTCCATCCTCTCAGCATCAAAGCAGGAACAGACACTATCCTCTTACCCCTTTTTACTGTTGTGAGCACAAAGCAGGTGGACTCTGGCCCCCTTCCCAGCAGGCAGGGCAGAGCCGTGATGGGAGATACGAGCTCTCTTGATAGCCAAATTACAAGCAGCCTATTGTGGACCATATGTGCTTCTCCCGGTGCAGCTGAAATCCAGGTGGCAGAATAACAGCTTCATGTAAATTAGCCAGGAGATCAAGGCTGAGAGGCAGGAGCCCTCTTTATTTATTTATTTTGTACTTAATTATGTGCAAATCAGGCTGATGAGGGACTGGGTCTGGTTGAAACAGATAACACCCCAGTCAATATAGGAGTTCACATTGGAAGAAGGAAGTATATCACATTAGAGAGGAATTTTGTTGATGGAATACTGTATGTATTATAGATAAAATAGAGATGATTTTTGCCACCCCCACCCCTATTCTTATCCATAGTTTTGAAAGAAAGATAACTTGTTGAGAAATGATCAGGCTTTTGTCCTCTGGAATGACAGCCAAGGGTTGTTCCTAACTGTAGTCAATAAGTCTTCCTGTAGAGTGCAGGTGCCCTCTGACATGCACCTTAATGACTGAGCAGAGTGCAGGGCAAGACTAGAAGGTTCCTGCTGTCATTGTTTAAGGAGTTTTCATTATTTGGATGAATGACTCAATAAAGCCAGACTTTCAAATGTGCAGTCTGTGCCTTTATAACAACAACAACAACAACAACAACAACAACAACAACAACAACACTGGGTTATCAGCAAGTTAATCCAATATTCTCTGTTACCTTAACCCCTAGATCAGATTGCTCACAAAGTCAATCTGATCAAACGTTCAGCTCTTACAAAAATCCAAATCAACCAAGAGGAAGAAAAAATGGTAGATTTGGTAGATACATGTAGAACATGGATGTAGCAGTTAACAAATATGTATGTAGATACACATTTTTCTTTTCTGTGTTGGCAAAGTGAAAAGTATTATTTGCAAAAAAAAACCAAAAACCCCAAAGCACTGAGAGTCCTGGCTATTTGCTGTTCAACAGATGACATGGGTGTTTCTGGAACTACTGCTTGCCCATATCACCAATACTCACCTGTACCTGTGTAGGGGGTTTTGCAAATGATATCTTTTGTGTTGCCAAGTCAGTATATCTTTGTGTAATTCAGTGTTCTCTCTTTATTCTTTGTGCATCTCTCAAAAAAGTGTCATGATGTGGGTGATGCCAAATAGTGTTTCTCAACCATTCTGGAAAAATTTTATAGCAGGAGACTGTAGTCTGAAACTTGACCAGTCATCTCTCACCTGCCAGTTTTTGGTCACAAGGAGGGACAGAACAAGTTTGTTAATGGTTCAGTGTGAATACATTGACACCACTCTGAGGAAAAGAAATCAGAGGTTTTCCTGAACAGAGAGTCTTTTCTTTGATGGACTCTCCATGTAGTTCATATATCAGAGGTGTTTTCAACAAAGCCATATGTATAGATAGAATTCTTTAGATTTTTTTTCTTTTTTAGAAAAGGGAGAAGAGGCTTGTTTGGCTTTGTTTTGGCTTTCTGTGTGCCTTTGCCAGCTTTAACCCTCAAATGTGGCTTGGTCTCAGTGTGGAAGCTCATTGGTTCTTGTGGAAGAAGGTATATTTGAGGGAATGTGGATCATAGCTCTGAGAAAACACAGGACTTAATAAACACGATATTCGTGTTTCAAAGAATCCAGTGTTTGACCCTCCCTGAGATAATAATCTTAGGTTTTTTCCTGCATTTAGAATGTCCCATTTCCTTCCCTCTCACCTTCTCTAAGTGCCCTGGTGTTAAAACTCAGAGAACCCTGCTTCTCCTTCCTGCCCCCTTGCCTCCAGCTTGTGTTGAGCGACCTCCTCTGTTGTTTCACCCCATGATACTGTGCCTATGCTTTGCTGAAAAACCTTGTTTTCACATGCATCCTTCAAATAATTTGAAACAAAGGTTTTATTCCTTCTTTTCCTTTTGGTGTCAGTCAATTTATTATCATGTTGTTTGATTTAAATTCTTTTCTTGTCGTTTTGCAGAAGCCGAAAGCGGTATGCACTCTTCGTTAACTTTCCTCCCAACCTCCACCCTCTATCTTCACTTCTAACCACAGGACTAACTATTTGCCAAGAATTCAGGAAGATAGGGATTATATATATATATATTTGTGTATATGTATATATAATCTCATTCCCTTGTCTATTGTATATGTATATATTTATAAATGTATATTTATACATAAATCCCTCTCCAACTAGTGTACATAAAAACTGAAAGTAGCCTATTGCTTTTCTTGTTTGATTTGTTGATTCTTTTGGATGACGCACTAACTTCTTTGCAGGAAACCAAAACAAACAAAAACTACTACAAAAGGCACAATTATGTTTTCAGTTATGGCACCAATGATGGGAACAAATGCTGTTCAAGTTGAAAAGGAGGAGGCTTCTCTCCAGCCCTCAGTGTCTGTTTCTGTCCTGTCCTGGTGTGTCTTGGTGTCCACCAGACTCTGTGGTGCCATTTGTCTACATAACACATCCACATTCCCCCTGACCTCCTCCCCGCTGTGTCTACTTCCAGTTTGTAGAGCAGAATTTGTGTCCTTTTATCCACAAAACAGAGACCAAGTCCTTACATTTAACTCTTTCCTTATGCCTATTTTGATGATAATGTTTTGCACATTTTATTTCTTGGGCAGTACTCAGTGCAGACTTAGGACACTGCTACTAAATTACCAGATTATCACATTTGATTTACTGGATGAGTACTGTTCCTTGAGACCACCTTATGGCTTTCTGTTTTTCCTAGTGTATTTGGACATATTTCTTATTATGAAGTATCATAGCTTTCACCATGTGACCTCACCTTGTTTGCTGCTCTTACATGTTGCATGAAGCATGACGAAATTCTTATATAACTTTTTTTTAATTTAACTTTTTGGATTAATATTTCCAGTGTAGCCTTTCAAATGTTTTCTCTGTCTAAGGAAGTATTGTTGAAAACATTCCATTGAGCTGCCTACTCGTTCATCTTCTCGAGTTGTTTTTCTCAGTAGCTTAATCACTGTCATATCTTTGTGTTTGTGATTCTGTGTGTGTGTGTGTGTGTGTGTGTGTGTGCATTTGTCTGGAACTTTTTCCAAAGTCAGACTCTGCTGTGATTTTTCGAGTAGATGTGTAAAAATAGATGTGGCTTCCTGTCAGTTTGGTATTATTGATATGATCCAACTGCGAGAAGTTACTGCAACACTTTGCATCTTCCAAGGTCCACAGTGGTTGCACCTCTGCCGTGGGCTTTTGGCCTTTGAGTCTTTTTACCTTGTGGTGAAGGCATGTTGTGATGTAGGCATGATTTGTCTAAAGTGTACCAAAAAGTGACTCAGCTTGTTCCCAGAACCAAATTTCCAGCATTGTCCTTTCCAAATGAACTATCTCTTTTCCTTCCCATATGGCTACTGTTTTTCTGGTGTATAAAATCTATTTTAAAATGCTACTTCTAAAATGACTGAGATGGAATCAGGATAAATATATCATTGGTTGACCACAGTGGTGGCCATTTGAGTCTGACCAACTGGGAGCAACCTTTATTATGCTGTCTCCGTGTAAGTGAACTTGGCTCAAGTATACTGAAGCATGGAATACACACTGTGAAAAAGTTTATGTGTCTAGTAGTGTGGGACTCCAGCAGCATATATTTTAATGCCCAGAAGAAATGAAAAGTTCCAGAAAGGCAGTAGGATTTGAGATTTGGGGTTTCCATAGGCTGTGTGCTAACACAGCCCCTAAACTGCAAGGAGGTTATACTTCCTGAGATGGGAACCAGTTGGTTCAAAGAAAGTCCCACCCAATAGCAATCACATTTGACCTTGTGTCGTCAGAGAGGCCACTTTTAGTGGCATGATTTCCCTGGGCACAGCATGAACAGAAGTCCTAGATTGTTCTTATTTTCTTGCTCTAGGTAATGGAGTCCCATTAGCTTTCTAGACACTGATATAATTATCATGTTATCAAATACAAACTATGTTCTCATGCAAGTGATATTTTTGTAATTGCTCGGGGAATGGTACATCACACCTACCAGAAATTGAGTGGGAAGAAAAGAGATACACACCTGTCGTATTTATCCGTAGTGGATAAAAGTTTCCTTTAAAAAAACCTATTTCAGTTGAATTACTAATCACTGGTTGTCTCTAAAAGCAGCAAACAAGTAAAGTTTATGATAATTGGAGGAGAAAGAACTAGATGTTTCCCAGTTAATGCATAAGTGGTGGAGAAAGGGAATACCTCATTTTGCCCCAATTGTCTACCCTGACCAAAATTCAGCAAGAGATACACAGTGAAATGCACTGCAGCTTGAGACCTGGAGCTCCGCTCCCAGAGGAACCTGGCACAGACATTTCCCTGGGGGGCTGAGCCCCGCTAGCCAGTTTCATGCAATGTGTTTTGTGTTCAGGAACATGTATTTCAGTTCTCAGTGAGTGGTGTTTTCAATAATTGAAATCAGTTCCTTCAACTCCCCACATGGCTAGCTGTTTATGTATTTTGTGTATTTACATATTTATACTCAACATCTCTGGGATATTGTTAGCTCATTTGCTGACCCCTAGAATAGGTGTGATTGCTCCCCTGGTAGGCCTGACTGATAAGAACTGCAGCTGGGTCTTGAAAGAACAGCTTTGACTCCCTTTCTCCTCAGCAGAGAGGGAAAGGAGCACTTTTGGAACTGAGATCTACGACTTCTGTTTTCCACTCATTCAACAAATAGTTAAAAAGTGCCTCTTCCATGCAGCTGGCTACATGAGAAAGGAATTTATAAAAGTAAATAAAGTATGGTCATGCTTTTCACTCCTTTACTCAGCTGTGAGTTCCCCACAAAATATATATATTTGCTCCTATAGTGGGTGAGGAGCTGACGAATAAGTCTAGATACAAAACTAGTCTGAGAACAAAAGAAAGAACAGGAATCCTTGGGGAAGGGACCATACCAGGCCTTTGCCTCCGGTTATCAGTGAGTATTTTCCATTGGAATTAACAAGGTCATAGAAGAAAGAGGATAATTTATAGTTCTTTGAAATGAGGGAAGGCCCACCCCTGCCAAGAAGATGTCCCTATTGGAATTCTGCTAATTGATATATGGATTTTTTTTAGGGAGATTTTCTTGATTCTTCACATGACATCTTGAAGTTTATCTCTGTCTAATAAGCTAGTGAATTAGACAAAATTGGAGACAGAGACTGATTTAAAGTGCTACACAGGGCAGGAGACTTTTGACAGTCATGAAAACAAACAAACTTAACATTGGGTATTTTAAGAGATGAAAGATATTTGGAAAGGTTTACCTATTCCCATTAGGAGGTCAATAACAGATTTTAAGGATAGGGGGCACATTATGGGAACAAAAAAGTTACTTCTGTCTAGATGTTTATCATTTTATATTTTCAAAAAGATGAGGATCAATACTTTATTTAAACTTCATAGATTTGAAATATGTATTAAATGCTTAATGTCTAAAATATCAAAAAGGGTAACATATTTCCTCCAAGAGTCTTTGAAACTTTGTGCCCACACAGGGAGTGTTGTGTGTGGGGGTCCCTGGAGTCTGGCACGTGTGCCTGTATATTGAACTCTCAAATACATGAGGGTAGTCCAGCCCAGTGGGTATCTTTATGTATCTAGATGTCTTTCCTTTACTGTTCTTTAGAGCTGGGCTTATCCTTCTCATTCCCACCCAAAAGGCTGCCTTAGCCTGACCTGGACCACTGCAAATGATGCAGCCTCCCACAGCATGTAGAAGTGACTTAAAGCCTCTGAGCCCTGTCCAGAAGACAACAGGAGGACATTCTGGGGTTACATGGTCACTGACATCCTTGAAGGTCCTTATTGCCTTTTACACTCAGCCATAAAGTTTAAGGAACAGAGTTACTCCACTGTGTAGCCAAAAGCCTGTCCAGATTAGCCCATCTCCTGATATTGTGCAAGAATAAAGTTTCAGATACTGTGGTCAGTAAAAAGGTCTTTCAAGTGCCACTAAGGTACCTCCTGGGTAGTTTCTCAGCACCAAGGACAAAATGAGGAGTGCGATGCTGTGAGAGATTATTTACTTCTCACGTACTTGTTGCAATTACCTTGCATAATATTTATAGCAGCTGTGTATTAAGGATCTACTATGTTGCAATCACTTGGCACATAGTATGTACTTTAATTTTCTCAGTAACTCTGTAAGCTAGTGATTATTCACCCCATTTCACTGACAAGGAGTGGGAGGCTCAGTGGCACCACATGCTCAAGGCCAGGACCTGAAGCTGCCGGCCCAACACATGCACCTGTGTGCTTAACCAACAGCAGCAGCAGAGTGGAGACGAACAAGATCTGCCTTACATCTGTGCCCAGATCTTTTCCTCTCCTCCCTCAAACTTGACTGAAGCAAGCTTGAGGGCTGTAATAAATGATCTCAACCTGCAGTCTCTGGAGTGACAATCCCAAATTCTTACTGTAGGCCAGTTCTTCCTCGCTGCTGATAAAGAACAGTGGAAATGAAAAGAGACTTTTCATTGATAGGAACCTCACTGTCACCACCATGGCACAGTGGGATCCGTCACTGCAGTGCAGTTACCGAAGCATGTAATGTAAAAAAGGGAAAATGGATTCTGTGCGAGGCTTGTTTTGTGCATATGTGTCACCAAGACATTGATGAGTGTCAAATTTCTCCTTTTGAATTGCGTTGCTGAAATCATGATAGGATTTTTTTCCCACTCAGGAAGCTTTTTTACACGCTTAAAGGTCAACAGGTAGAATTTTCCAATTTTAAGGAATTAGTCTCCAGAAGTTACCCAGAATTATTCATTATGTCCTTGTCCTTTGTTCTAAAATGTACAGTTCCTCATCCTGTAACTTTAATTATGGCCAGGATGTTTTTTAATCCCTGCCTTCCATTTCTTGGGGACAGCTGAGGAAAATCTGATAATTCCATTGAGAATGAAATACCCTTTTGGCTTTTTTTTTTGCAATAATAAATATTAAAAGAAACAATAACCAATAGACATCAAGCCTTCTGTCAGTTATCTCGCTTGATCTTCTGAAGAAAGACTATGATTATCATCATCTTGTGGGTGAGGAAATTGAGTTCCAGAGAGGTTCAGAAACCTGCCCAAAGTTAGACAGCTACTAAATGGCTGTGCTAGAATTTGGACGCACTATGCTGCAATTTGGAATTGCAGAGACAGGGCATGTAAGAACTGCCTTGCAGGAGCATGGGTAGGAAAGTGTGCAAAATCCAGAATGCCACCTTTCTAAAACATTGCACTTAATTGCCTTTGAGAACACAATCATCTAAACTGCAGAAGCTCGGACCCTTTTCTCCTCATGATCATGACAAGTCAGAGGGCTGGTTGACAAATGTGCAGAACTGGTGGTTGCCGTATTTTGCTGTGTGTAGTGTGCACCCAAACTTTCAGGGAAAAAAAATCTTTCATTTTAATTTTTTAATTCATTTTATTTATATATGTTTGGAAACAAAACCAATGATCATATTCCAGGGTATTATTTTGTATACAGATGTCATCATTGCTTCCTAGAGTTATACTTTTTAATGCATAAGCATAAATAAAAATTAAAAACCTTTATATAGATACAGAATTAGTACTGCTTGTGTACAATGTGCATCCTTATTTTTTCCTAAAAAATTTGGGCAGAAAAATGCACATTATACATGGCAAAATGTGGGCAGCGGGGAGGTGCCTGTGCAGCATGGCCCCTTGCAAGCCGTGCTGTCAGCCGTGGCCTGCCGCCTCCTGATTTGTGAGGAATCTCCATGTTGTCTGTGGTTCTCTAGGGCAGAGCAGTCAAATCTTCATGAGCTCTTGCTATTATTTAGTGTTAATAATAGCAATGACACAGGATTGATTTCCTCCCATCAGGCCTTATTATGGGCAATAGTAGATGTTCTTGTGACCACAAACAATTATTTTGCAATAATTATCTACTCCATTCTCCCAGCAGAACAAAAGTTCACCTGGGTCCTTCCTGTATTGCTGCAGACACATTGCTCTGTTGGTCACTGCACTTTTCTGAAATGGCTTTAGCAGCAGAAAGGGATTACATGTTAATTGCCATCCTCCATTTTGATTATTTTAGGCAGTTAAAGACTTCCTTTAGCCTGATTCCAAACATCTATTACATGAAACACCCGATTTTCAGATCAAAGACTCCTTCCGTTGTATCTGTTGCTGAATTTAGAGTCCCTAAATTCCATATCCATTCAGCCGAAAGCCTCATCTCACTCTCTGTGTATGGCGTTCCTGGATTCTGCTTTTGATCTGCAGAAAATTAGACTTGTTTGTTTCATCCATTTATTAGATTAGGATACATTTATCTCTTCTGTCAGTCCAAACACAACTTGGTCTGCTAATCTATTTATACCACTTTGAAATAGGACAGTGTATATTTAGGTTCATACTTCCCTGCAAGGGAAGTTTCTTTAAGTGGTAATTTGCATTTGTCTTCTAATTACAGTTTGCCCCAATCAGGATGTGCTAGACACACACCTTATTCAAAGACCCCCTTACATCTTTGTAAACAGCAGGCTGGAATCATTAAGTATTTCCAATTGCTGGCATTTTCCTTTTTTACTGTTCTGGTAGACCTAATTCCTTCTACACAGACTGCACATGGAATCTACTTCCATGTCCTTATCAATGTCATGCAGATGTTCTGTTTGCTTCTGCATTGGTTTTGGGTGTCTTGTACCATTCCCTGCAGTGGTATGTGGTGTGTATATGTGTACGTTTCTGTATGCATATAGGGGTCCCATTAATGCTCTGTCATCTAATGGAAAATTGGTGTAGCAGTAACTTTATTAGACTAATAACACTCAGTGTTGACCATCAACAGTATTGTCCAAAGGGGCATGTTATTGGGGATTTTGCTTCAGATCAGAAGCCAGTGTTGGCAACCCCATTATAAAAACCCGGCCCTGCAACCCAGATTTGCTTTGATTTTTACAACGGGCAGTGTGCCAACGTAGGGACTGAGTGGCCGAGCTTTATGATGGCATTATCCAAATAAATGTGTGGGACAGTGGACCTCAGGCTCTAGACAAAATCTGTGGGGAAAGCATTAGACTAGTGGGCCCCCTATACGATTTAACCATGTGGTGTAGCCTTCAAGGTTTTACTCAGAACATGACCTCACAAATGTGTCTTCTTTGTTTTTGTTCACTGAGCAGTATATTAATTAATCCTGGAAACCATCTTAAGATCCAAGAAGGTACTTTAGGATTTTTCATCGCAAGTGATGCCAAAGAAGTTAAAAGGTAAGAGTTTATTTTCACCTGCCTTCCTTTCTGTTGCAACCATAGACATCTTGACCCACTGGGGTGGACATACTCTATATGTATTGGGCCCTAGCCCCCAACTTCGTAGCATGTCTTTGGGCATCAAATGGTGCCAAATCTCAGGAAAAAGGGATCGTGCTTTCAAATGCTTCCATGGGCTTCTCTTCATGGGTGTAATCAGCTCCACATCTCTGAATTAGAATAATAACACTTTAGAGCTAGGAGAGCCTAGTTACCTCCACCTTCATTTCCCAAGGAAGAAAACAGAGTTCCAGAGAGCTGAATTGATTGTTCATGGTCCCCCGATGCTTGGTACCCAGAACAACATAGCATGGGACAACTGACTCCTCGTCTACAGCTCTTTACTTAATGTTGTTACTCAGGCAAATGTACTTGAGGATTATCAGTTTTTTACTTTCAGCATCAAATGGAATCTCAAAAGGTTTGGATTGATTTCAGATGAAATCCTAAACTGGATATATTTCTAAGTGTGGCCATCTAGGTATGTGGCTGAGGTTGTCAGGTTTAATTCTTAAGCCTCTGTAGGTGTAGCCCAGGGCTTCATTGGCCTCTGTGTTTTATGACACCTTTATTAGTATCCTTAACCTGTTCAAGCGGTCCAGGAAATTATAGGACTCTGTGCAGAACACCATGGAACATTGTTGTATTTGATTCTATCCTATGAACTAGAAAAAATTTACTAGCAGAACATGGGACTCAAATGGCTACACAGGTTGTTCAGCTCAACAATAACATTACCTAAAATATTTTAATTATTTATGAAGGTCTGTAATTTATATAAGCCCATCTTTATATAATGGGTTTCTACTCAAAGCCAGGCCTGTGCGAGGTGTTCTACATTCTTTATTGTTCTTCCTCAGAAAAAATCTTATAAGGCACATCTTCTAAAACACTTAGGCTTTGGTCTTCTCCTCTGTGAAGTTGAGATAAATGATTTGTCCAGGCGGTGTGGCACATAAGCAAGTGGCAGAGCCTGGGTAGGAACTTGTCTTTCTTTCCTCAGCCCCACAGTATCTACCAGAGGTAATAATATGAGCAAATTCTTACATAGAGTTTACTGTGTGGCAACACTCTTCTAAATACCAGGTACCAGGTATTAGTGAACTCCCTTAATCCTCTCAATGACCTGATGGGATAGACGATATTATTATTCCTGCTTTACAAATGAGGAAACTGAGGCACAGATTGGTTCACTGACTTGCCCAAAACCACACTGCTGGTTCAAAGCCAGGGTTTAAAACCAGGAAGTCTTACATTCTTAATTATTGCCGAGAGGTGAACCTGACATGCTGAGTGCAGAACAATATTTGGTGGCTGATGCTTATCATTATCTTCCTCATCATCCACTCTTGTAAACTAGTCATACCAGTCATAAAGCTTTCAGGTAAAACACAGAGGGTGGAAAAGGGAAACAAGTCCTTAAAACTGAGCTGTCTGATAGCAACTCCACTTCCACAAAATTACCATTATTCAGGTGTGGGAAAGGAAAACCTGTTTATCCAGGTCCTTACATGTTTGCAGGTCCTTACTGTTCTTTAAGAGTACCCTGAGAACCGGGTTCACCCGAGAGAGTAAAGTTGGGGTGGGGGGAATGGGAACAAACACCGACACCCCAGGGCCCCTGGAGGAGAAGGGTGTGCTCACATCCAGACTGAGACACAAAAGCTGGAAGCAGTGTCTCAGCACCATGAGCGGGGGGCTGGGGAGCAGAATGGCACCATAGATCACGTGTGCCTCCCACATAGCAAATATAACATGAAGCTCCCATTTGTGTAATTCTATTTCCTATTGCATCTCTCACTAATGAATGTCACAAATACCAGGCAGTCCAAAAAACAAATTACCTCCTATATTAGGGAGTGCAGGATGTCTCATTTCAGTGCTTTATGGTATTCACAAATACATGCTGACACAATCAGCTACAACACCAGCCTGTAATTTTCCATGGTGTGTGATGTGTCAGAGCAAATGCTGTCAGTTAGGGGATTTCAAATAGATGAAGACTGCAGAAAACCACAGAAAGGACATTGGAGATTTGAATGAAACTAAACAAGTTTTGTAAAAATAGAACAGTAGATTACGATGCTCTCGTATTGAGTCTGCACCCTGTGCTGCAAAAAACAACAAAAGAAGTTAATGGATCTGGCTCATAGAAACTTTCAAATGCAGTGTGTTAGGAAAAAAAGAGGAGCAAAACCATCCAACTCCAGTCTTAACAAGGTCACTTTGGGATAAGTATTTGGGCTCTTGCCCTATACTCCTTGCCACTAAATATTCTGCTTTTTCAATAACCTTCATATAGCATTTAATGTAGGAGTCACAAAATGGTGCTTCATCAACTCAGTTTGGCTTGCAGGCATGGTTCATTTGAATCACAATTAGAAAAATAGTTTCCAAAATGGAGAAGTCCTAATATTTTACATAAAAATCCCTATTACTGATTTCTCCTTGAACTTGCAGGTCCAAGATTACTGGGCAGCATTCATTCATTCATTCATTCATTCATTCATCAAACATCTGTAGGTCACTCGCTTTTTAGGACACTGTACCAGGTGCCAGGGAAATGCCGGAGAACAATGCAGAGGAGTCCCTGCTCTCATGCGCTCCCATTCTGTGTAGGAGAGAATTGCGCTTGTGTTTAGTCATGGCGCCAAGCATTGATGCAGCTGGGTCACTGCTTTAGGTTGGTTATAGGTGAAGGTTGCTTGGAGGGAGTGACACTTGAGCAGATAGTGAGGTGATGGGAAAGAGTTCATCAGACAGAGATCTGAAGGGAAGAGGAGACATGATGGGAATATGTTTGTTGTGTTCAGGGAACCAAAGGAAAAAGAGGACATTAGGGGCAGCAGACTGTCAAGGTGAGGTTAGAAAGAATGGTAGGGCTAGTTCCCAAAGGACTTTGTATTTTGGATCTGTTATAAGATGGAGTCATGGATGGTTTACGCTGGTGGTGATATCGTCTGGCTTACATTATTAAAAGGCCTTTCTGCGCTGTAGAGAATCAGACACAGTGGAAGAGGAGAGGAGCCAGGAGACTTGGAGACCTCTGCAGAGATTAGGTGGGAGATGATGGCTTGAGGTAGGCTGGGGAGTGGAGGTGGTGAGAAGTAGGACCAGTTCAGAATATCTTTTGGAGAGTTCATAAGGCCCAAATGGACATAGAAGGTGATGGAAACAAGAGGAATCAAGAATGGAGCTGAGATTTGAGCCTTATACAACTGGCTGGATGATGACTCCATCTCACTGAGATGGGGCAAGTGGGAGGAGGAGCAAGATTGGGGTGGAAGGAATTTAAGAATCATAAATGGGTTGTGTTAAATAGGATGTATGCATTAAGTTGTACACATGGCGATGTTGTAAAGGCAGCTGGAGCTAAGATTCTTGACAAAGGAGAGGGCTGGAGATTGAAATTGGGGCACTTAACAGTGAGGGTCCTGGTAAGAAACAGATGATACACTTTAATGGGAAAAAGGAGGAGAGTTCTATAAAGAGAATCTATAAAGTTGGGGGTACAGAGTTAAGGAAAACCTACAAGGAATGGCAGAGCACCCCAGAGCTAGCAGCCGAGGGGAGCCACTCTCAGCCCTAGATCTGGAGAGTCCAGGAGAAGGAGGGCTGTCAGAACTAGACAGAGAGGGCATGCTGTGGGAAAGGCTACCTCACAGGAACTGTGTCCTTATGTAGAGAATTGTTGCTGCCATTGTATGAGCTGGCAGGGAAGGAGTCATCTCTTCTTACCCTCCTGTCTCTTGCTGTCTCCCCCCATTAGACAGATACAAGGAGAAACCAGGAAACAAGGAGACCCTAAATGCCAGCCTTTCAGGGTGCACATCTGGTGTGCTTGATGACCTATGTGGCAGCTTCAGCAGTTGAAGGGTAGCTGGGGAAGGGGTGGGTGAGTGGGAGAGGAAGTGGAGAGGAGACCAGAGAGCCTTGAGGCGGGAGAAGGAGACAGAGTGTAGATCCTGAGGCATGCGAAGCAGCCCCTGGAGTCCAGGGCCATGGATTTAAAGGGAGATCAGTCAGCAACACTCAGCTGCTCAGGTGCAGGTGTGCAGCAAGGTAGGGGCTTTGCCAGGTGAGCAGGAGAGAGGCAGAGGTGGGTGGAGAATAGAATAGTGCTGGCAGAGAAGTGCCACTTGGAAAAACTCACATGGAGCTTAAATACTCTGCCCTCTCCAGTTGGGGGATATGCCTCTAGGTTGCCACAGACCCACCCCCTCCCCCACTTCACTCATTAACTTTACGTGTCTGGCTCCTGTGGGCGTTTTTTACTTTCAGAATCCAGCTTTAATTCATGAGGTAATTATGTTTTATTTTTCAACAGTCTATTCAGGCTCATCATAATTTCTTCATCTCCTTAGTAGAGATGTGTTTAAGACCTTGGGCACTGGGACTAGATTGTGTGGATTTGAATCCTGGTTCTGCCACTCAGCTGTGTGACCTTGGGCAGGCACTTAACCTCTCTGTTTTTCAGTTTTCTTATCTATAAAACAGATAATAATCATACTTCCATCAAAGGATTGTTTGAGGATAAAATATGTTAATACTTATTAAATGCTTAGAACAGCACCTGGTCTATAATCTGTGCTCTGTAAATGTTAGCTGTTATTATTAATACATGTAGGAACATCAAATGTGGGGAGAAAATGGGCAAAGAAAGTGAAAACAAAATTGCTTCCTTCTTTCTTGCACTTCCCCTTTTAAGGCAAGTCATCATTGATTGCATTTGTAGCCACATTGCCACTGAGGACAAACAATCAGCTGCCTTTTGTTGTTTTGGCAAGATAGATGAAAACTGGCATTTAAAGCAATAGTGGATGAGCTGCCAGGGTGGAAGGAGCATGGGGCCTGAATCTAGAGGACCTAGGGCTGGCCAGGTACCAGCACAGGATGACAATGGGCAGTTATGACTACCTCCTCCATTTACAGATGAGAACACTTGGGTCTCAGGGCTTTTGGCTGCAAGATCTCGGCTGTCTTCCAGATCAAAAGTCTTAACAGTGGTTTCCAAAAGTCCCAGTTCTCTGAAAAAACATAAAAAGGAACCTAGGAATAAAATGGTCAAGAATTGTGTTTATTTCTTTATAGCACTGGCAAGGAGAGACCGTGTTTATCCCTGGCATTCAGCTTTGTGTTAGGAGTGGTGAAGGTGTGAAGCCAGGGATTTTGTTAGTCACTGTACTCAGAAGGCTGTGAGGCTGTTCAGTGAATTTTATCACCTCCCCAGTACTGATAGGGCACAGGCCTCTTGTGCTGTTCTTCTAGGCCTTGATCATTTTAAATAGCGCTTGAATGGTCTTACTTTGCTTCATCCAGAATATCTTTGACATGGCCAATGCTCTTTGTCATCACATATTGACACTTAAGATGAGGGGATTTTCCTGTTGATTGATTGCTTTCTCTGGGTCTTCTTCTATTCAGCCCAACCCTATAATGCCCTCTGTCCATCCCATTCCACTGGCCAGCTGAGCCATCGTTTTATGTAGTAAGAAGAAAACCTTCATTTATTGCATGATCTCAAGGCTGGAGAGTATGGGAGTTGGTCCAGCCAGCTTTGCAGTAAATGTGGATGATGGAATCCCAGAAGGCATTTGACAGAGGAGCCCCTTGATTCATCACTTTTGATTTCCCTTCTCTAATCTCCTCCTCAGCCTCTCTCACTTTGGCTGAAATGAAAAGATGTTTTCAGAGTGACAAGGCGAATATTTTTGTTTGCCTGAGGAGCGTCATCCTTGTGCCCCTTTAATGTACAGTTAACCAGACTGAGGATTTCGGAGATGTGTTTACCTCCCCCCCCACCCCCCAAGGGCCTGAGGCTGCTCGCCCACATGTTCTGAGGGGCAGCATTGAAGCTGTCCTCAAAACGAAAGACGAGCGAGCTGACGCCATGTGTCACACCGGCAACCTTTTCCCCAGTTCCTTTTCAAGTGAAAGTTTATTAAAAGAAGCACTAACTCAAATCACAGAGACCTGTGTTTGAAATAAATGGTCTTGCAACAAACATTTCCGTCTGTCAACGTCTAAACCTTTCAAAAGATTAAAGGAAATTAGTGCTGGCGTGTTTCATTAATTTGGCACCACAGTGGAGGAAATGTGGTACTCATTTCATCTGGTGGATTATGAAACGTGTCAGTTTTTCCATTCTCTTTCTCCAGGGCATTTTTTTACTGCAAGGCCTGTCACGATGACATCACAGATCCCAAGAGAATAAAAAAATGCGGCTGCAAACGGCGTAAGTAGTGTTTCTTACCCCCGTTGCTCCTTTCCTTCCTTTTCCCCAAATTCATTTCCCTTCTTTCCCTTTTGAAGAAACACTAAACATCAAGAGTTTTCTTGAATATGTTTATGTTTCACCCAGCAGTTTAAAGAGACATGAAATAAATACCTGTCCTCACTTTATTAGAGCAGAGGTTGAAAAATCATCACCACCAGCACCTAGGAGTAAACCTAGTGCCTAATCCCGCCTCTTGACTCTAAGGGGATGAATAGCTAGCGGTGCCCAGTCGAACACAGTAAGTATGGTGTGTGAAAAGGAGGACAGCTAAGGCCATGGAGGAGGGAGTGTTCTGTAAAGTGCTTTCTTGTGGCTGTGGGGATGCCAAGTGTAAAGATGGCTGTACTAGGGCAAGGAGGGAGACTGAGTGTGAGGACTCGGTTTCCCTAATGGGAGCTGACTCTCATTCCACTTGGGATCACTGCAGATTTGGTAGCAAAGGCCAATGTTTTCAGCTGTGATACTTTCAGACTGGCCCAAGAAAAGAACTTGGACATCGCCAGTGGATTTTGTCATTGTTCCAGGGACCAACCTCGAATACCACTGCTCTTTGGGGTAGATGAACTTGGGCTTGGTAGCTAATGGCATATCCTGTCTCCAACTCCTTCCAAAGTAGCTTGCCAATGGAGCCTCTTGAGAAAGACATGGGAAGTTAGGAATGTTGGATTGTGAGTTCCTGAGAAACCAGGATTTAAAGTAGGCTTTGCCTTGAGAAGGTCATGCCTTTGGCAGTGATCATGTGGCATTCATTGTCTAATAGAAATTGTTTACAACCCTAGAGAAAACGCTAATAAGGACGCCTTCCTTCCTATGGCAATTTAGTCTTTCCAAAGCTCCTTATGATCATTATTTTCTTTGATTCGTACCATAATCCTACATAATTGGCAGGGGATGTTATTTATCCCATCTTACAAAAAGAAGTTAAGGTTTCAAGTTCAGTGACAGGATGAGATTGCTGAGACCTCATTGACAGATTCAGGCTTGCCCGAAGGCCTCTCCTAATGTCCTGCCCTGATGTGTTTTGTTTGTTTGTTTGTTTGTTTGTTTGTTTTTGTTTTTTTTTCCAGGAGAAAGGGCAAAGTGGGTGACATTGGGTCTGATGAGTAAGAACACAGTTATAAGATATTGTCCCATAAAGTACTTTTTCACAAGCAGGAACCACACAGATGAACACCCTTCCTGGGATATGCTGAACGATGCAGGGCTTTATTCACTGCACCCCTAAAGGGGCACAGTAAATGTAAACCAGTAAGATGTAAATTCCACTCTGCCGGAGCATGGAAAAGACTTGGTCTAGAGCAGTCTCTGTGGAAACCCTTTTGCGCTGCTCCCCAAGTCTAGGACACCTTGGGCCTACTGTTTTGTTCCCTCTTCTTCGCTGACTTAACGCAGAGTCCCCTCCTCTCAACTCTGACACCCCACCCAGATGGGTATGAATGGAAATCTCAGAACAAGAGCCTCTAACTTCTTGGGGCCTAAGAATTCTCCTAGTCTAACAGCCTGTCAGGACAAGTGTCTAAGGGCAAGTGAGACACAGAACAAACCCACTCCTGAGTCCATGACTCTGAAGGCCCTTCTCAGCAGGTGGTCCACGCCAGCTCTGCTTTGCTTCATGGGTACCCTTGTTTTGTGCAAGGCACTGCTCTTGATGCTAAAGATGGTGTGGTATATAGGATAACATCCCTGTCCCCCCAAGCCTTTACTCCACTGGAGGATCATGGAACAATAATCATAGACACAATTAAATACATTCAGATAGAGACAAGGGCTATGAAGAGATTGGATGCTGCCGGAGGGTGTGAGGAACATTTGCAGAGATGCTGCTTTAGCTGGGAACCGAAATGAGCTTGCAGTGTTTGAGGGGAGGAAAGGCAGCCAGTGGAGCTGGTGGGATTGGAGGGAGAGGGATATGAGACAGATCATGGAGGAAGGCAGGCACCATGCTAAGAAACTTGGGCTTTATTCCTACAATAATATAGTTGTTTTCAAGCAAGGAAATTATACCACCAATTCCTGTTGATCTCCTGGGTGACTGGACAGAGAGCAGAGTCTAGGGAGGCAGGAGGGGAATGGAAGGATAGAGAGTAAGTGTCTCAGACTCCTGCTGAGCTGGAACCCAGCAGATGGGTTTTTTAAGTCCCCAGAAATGAGGATTTGATCTCAAAGGACATTTTTCCATTTTGGTTCTAGGCAAGCAAATGGCAGTAGTCTTTAATATTATCCTGGAGGGAAAGGCACATAATTGTTTGAAATAATATTATTCTCTTCATTTCCATTGAAGTTGGCTCAGCTGGTGAAGCGTGCGGTCTCCCATCATGCATAGCAGAGTGCTGCGAAAGGACTGCCTCTCCGAAGCCAAGCCAGTGTGACCAGGGTCTCGCTGCCTCCTCTCTGCATCCTCCCCCCACATGGGCTCCTCCTCTCATAGAGGCCCTGGCTGTAAGGCTGATGTTTGATAACAATCAGAATTGTCCAAATATTGTTCTTCCTAATTACACAGCCGTAGCAGCCACCGTTCCAGAGGGCAGGATGCAGATGTGTATGTGTGAGTGGCAGTTAGAATAAATTAGTTATTAAGCCTAAGGCATACCAGGCAAGTTAGGAAATTGGGGGAGCTAAGTTTTGGTTACAAAGAAACTTTCATTACAAGGAGCAGAATTGTTAACAGTGTACCAAGTGCATACTGTCCCATGCCCAAAGTGGGGGAGGGCAGCTGCCACATACTCGTTTGTCCAAACCTGGTAGGTCAGGTATTGGTAATCCACCCTGGAATGATACACCTCCATGAAGGCAGAGCTGGTGACAGTCACTGGTCCCTGTTTGCAGCTTCCTAGCCCTCCTCCCTCAGCCTAGCTCTTCCCCGTTGACCCTGCTCACTCCCACCTCCACCACTTCATTCACTTTTGTTCAGAGACTTGAATGTTTCGTGTTTTACTACCTGGAGAAGTACTGAGTGTGGACATTCCATGCCTGGAAATTCTGTGGTAGTATAGTTTAACTTTTGCATTTCTTTCCATTTCTTCATAGCTCTCCATCAAGGAAGAGGGTCAAATTCAGCGTCTGGCCAAGCAGCAAGCTCTCAGAATCTATTTACCCACTTTTTTTTTCTGTATAACAAACTTGGTCTAATGATTGATATTTTCTCCCCCTGCCTCTAAAAGTTTGCCAAAGCATAGACTCCTAGGAGACAAGTCATGTCTAAATTGATGTGTTTGAAGGAATTTTCTTGAACTTCTAATCATTGACATATTTTTGATTTATTTTTTTCCTCTTTGCTGCCTTGGAATACGGCCCCTACTCTATTTTAACTGCACACTGGTAGTGATATATTGTGAGTAAAACGGGTTCCCAGCAGCCCGCAGTCCAGTTTCCCCTGTCTTTCTCTAGAAGAGATACTTCTTTTATTTTCTGTACAGTTTCAGTTTCTTTTTTTCTTTTGGTATTTATGTTGCATGTAGCAGTAATATCATGCCCCCACTCCCTCATCCGCACAGTCTGCCGAGTGGCCGGGTGCTGGAGAACCCTGACAGCAGGATCCCCTCCCCACCCCCCGCCCTGTTCATCCACCCACCCCGTAGCTTTTGGCCAGCTTCTGGTGCTGTCTTATTTTTCTATTTGAAAATAAGACCTTGACAACAGTGTTTCTCTTGAAGGCCTTGTCTCAGGACCTTTGGGGGACACTGAGTATGCTGGGGTAATTACCATTATAGTGCTAGATGCCTCATCGACTGGGGGTCATTGTCATGCTGGCCTTTCATAAATCGTACTTGGTCTCCTTGACCACTGAGCTTGAATTCCTATCCTAAAGGAAACACATATGCTACATATATATTCCTGTGTTGTGATACATATATATCATGTCCCAGTATTTTATATGTAAAAATGTACATTTTTATATATAAGCATAGAGATATTTTATAGAGAGAGTGATTTATTATAACATTTGCACTTCTCTGTATGAGAAAGTGCTTGCTGGAGGATTAATTGGACACCCAACTTTGGGACTGTAAGTATCTAGCTTGCCTTACTGGAGACAAGTATTTCCACAGTGGTAATTATTTCCAACAGTCTGTGAAATTCCCTTGCTTTAAAATAAGGTTTCTCCTTCAATCAGTACCCAGTAGGATATGCCCAGTTCCTCTAGGGATGTTAGTTAGGCATCTTGGAAGATGTTTGCTTGTTTAGTAAACATTTACTTGTTTAAGGAGGAGAGTGTTCTGCTCCACTGATGAGCTCCACAGAAGTCTGAACAAGTAAATGCGAGTCTCCAAGCCCCTAACTTAGTGAAGGCGTAGGACCCCTCTCACGCAACAAGATGGAGCAGTCGAGGAGGAGCTTTTAGGGCTAGTATTTCTGTGTGTTACTTAGAGTAGCGCTGCGTTCTGTTGTGCTGGAACCGAGCATGGGACCTTTACTCCTGTACGTAAAACCACTGAACACGAGGCCCAGCCTGCAGAGCAGTTCAGTCCAGTAGTCCTAGAATTTGGAGGTGTCTTGGCACTGGGCCCCCTCATTCTCCTCTACAACAGAAGAGAGAGACAAGTTGGTCATCTGCTTTTTGCTGGGCTTCAGAGCTGGAGGGTATAGAGTGCTCAGTGCACACACAAAACAAAGGAATGACCTTCCTCAGTTTGATGCACATTCTGCCAAAACTGACGCTGCAGCTTCCTTTATCTGCAGAACACCTTTAAGGATGGCTTGAGGGCAGGAGCTACTTTTTATACCTGCAGAGCTGCCTACAGAATCTAATGACCCTTCAGAATCGGTGGGAAATCTTGATGTCAATCAACAAACAACTCTAGTGCCAAATTCTTCTGCCTCCTTCAGCCACAACATGGTGTTGAGGGTGGAATCAACCAGCTTGGTAGGCTCTGCGCTGCTGACATCCACTAGCTTTTCCTTCTCCCTCTTTCCACTTTGGGAAAACCACCTGGAAGATCTTTCTTCTCCTTCCAGAA